GTAGGGAAAATTACATAGCCTTAGTTGCCAGTGTTAATGCTTTGATAGTAGTGCTAAGTTTAGGATTTTCTCCTCTTTTTAAAATTTAATTAAAAAAATAAAGGCAATATATTTATATAATTCAAGAATTAAAGCACTCTGTCTCCAGATACCCTGTTCCCTTTCCCCTCTGTTTTTCCCATCAGTAGTCACCATTATTACTTTCTAATATATATTTCTAGCATTTCTTCATACAGATACAAATATATAAGAATATGTATTCTTACTTCTGCACCTTCTTACCCAAAAGCTAGCTAGCTGGGTGTTGTGTTCTACATGTTTCTGTTTTCCCTTGTTGTATCCCAGAAATCTTCCCTGCAAGGAATTTTGAGGCTGCATCTGGGATCAGCAGGCAAGCCTGTCTTGCTTGGTCAGTGATGCCCTTGTGCCTGCTGCACCCTTATCTTCCTGTGTGGGGAAAGGGACACAGGAGATTAAAAAACTGGCTTTAGCTGTGACTGTTCCTAAGGCCTTATTCGAAGATTTTTTTTTTTTTTTTTAAAGCTCTGCAGGGTCTTCACCAGTGAAATGGGTTTGTTGGGGCAGATTAGTGATCAAGTAAATAAGCTGATCCACGATGACCATTCCTTACTGTTGTCTTTTCAAGTAGGTTCAGATAGATCATTTGGAGGTGGAGATTAAAAATTGTAATGTTGTAAAAATGAATAGTATTAGACATTTTTAGGCAATATTACCAAATCTTCCTGGTAAGACTTTCCCCCAGAACTTGTTTCATGGTAGCTGGCATTCTTTTTGTACATAGAGGTATGAAAACTGAGGCCCAGAGAGATGGTTAATATGCTAGCAAGACTCAGACTGTTGACTTCTAGACCATTGCTCTATTGAAGTCTGGGTCAAAGATGGATGGATTGGCAGTTAGTGGTACCCACAAGCTAACCAAACATCCTATCATCTGAAGATTTGCCCTTGATACAAAAAAAAAAAAAACAGGTTTTTTTCCTATTAAATTGTCTCCATATAAATAAATGCCAAGTCTTTTGTCTTGGGAAATTGTTTCTTAAGGACTATGTCCCATATTTCTTAGTCTTGAAGACTTTACAATCAAATCAGAGTCTTTCAAGAACTTAATGTATAAGATCCTGCCCAGCCTCGTGTTTCTTTCTCAGTTCTTTATGAATGTGGGCAAATAACTAGAACAACTCATGGTTTTATAAACTTCATTTTGAAAAAAAAATGGTGTTAATAGGTTGTGTTCTGTATAGGGATTTGAAAGTAATTATAAATTGCAAATGAGGTGTTCTTTCTTGATTGCTCATCTCTTCAAAATAGGCTGATCTACTTAATAGATTCTTCTTCCTTGACCTCTAGTCCCCTTGGAAAGGAGTCACCTGTGCTTTTCTGTTCTCTGTTGACATCTAGCAGCATGAATAAAACTGTTGTAAAGTTGACAGACGGTTCTCTCTTAGGTTAGTCAGGGTTTGCCATTTTCTGGAAACTTGTAAGTTTTACTATCTTGAACATTTTTCTTGAAGGGTAACATGTACATGAAGAAAAATGCACAAAAGATAAATGTATAACTCAACAAATTGCCACAAATGGAAAACACTTAGATGAAGAAACAGAATCTGACCAGCACCCCAGCAGATTACCTTTGTGCCCCTTTCTGATCTCTGTCCCTTTTTGCCAGCAATAATGGAACCACTGCCCAACTTCTAACATCATAGCTTTATTTTGCCTGTTTTTGAACCTTGTGTAAATAATGTGTACTCGTGTTTCTGTCTTTTGTGTAATGGTCTGTATATTACTGCATGTAGTTGTGAGCCACCATCTCAGAGCTGATACCTGCAATTTGTTTATCCATTCTGGCATTGATGGACATCGGGTAGTTTCCAATTCTTGGCTCTTATAAATAGTTTACTATGAACATTCTTTTGTGTGTCTTTTGGTGAATACACATTTGTATTTCTGTTAGTACACCTGAGAGGAAATTGCTAGGTCAGAGGGTTTGCATGGGTTCAGCTTTAATAGATATTGCCAAGTGGTTTTCCAAAATGGCTTTACTAGTGTATCCTCCCACTAGCAGTATTTTTTAATGTGGTGCTGAGAATTGAACCCAGTGCCTCACACATGCTAGGCAAATATGCTCTACCACTGAGCCGTACCCCAGTCCATGTGGCTATGGACTCTTGTGTCCCGTTCTTGCATCTGGTCAGTGTGAGGAAGAACTCTCCCAGCAGATTCTGTGTCAGGATAAAGGAATCCTTATGTATTTTAGCCAACTTTTAAAACACTATCTAAAGGTACATTTATTAAACTTCAGTGTAGTCCAGTGGTTGTGTGGTATTGGATGTCATCAGTGGGCGATCCCCTCCTGTATTGTCTAGAGAATGACTTAGCAAGCAGCAGGCTGGCTAGGAAAGTTAAACTGGAGCTTAATAATTACAGGTAGTGATGGTGATATTCTCTGCTGTGATGTATGAACTGTTCAGTGTATGTTGAACAGCCTGTGATTTTGGTAATGGATATAATATTGTATTCTCACCAATTCCCAGTCACACATCTTTTCTACATTTTTACATCTCAGAAATCAAGGTATGTCTTAAATTAAGTGGTGTGTCATAGTTTGACAACATTTTTTTTCTTTCCTAGTGACACATAAAGTGACATTTTCTTATGATAGATGATGTATTAGATTTGATGAAATCCGGTAAAATACACATGCCAAGAGTTTGAATTTGAAAAGCCCAGATTAGATGATTCTAGGCTATATTTTGTGTCTCCCTGGTGATTTTCTAGGGGATGGGCCTGGGTCATTTTGGGAGTTTGAGCAGAATTTCAAGAACAGAAGTATTCTGCTGCTCTTTTAAAAAGAAGATTAAAGAAAAAAAAAAATCCCAGCTTGCCAGGTTGTCATCATGATGTATCACAGGAACACCTGATCGGGTGGTAGAGGGTGTAGATATACTTGGGAAAACTCTGCTACCCTTGCTTACCCTCACCAAACCACTTCTGTTGGAGGTACACATCCTTCCAGGTCCCTCTCAGGTCCCCTTGTGGTGTTTGTATGTATGCACATCTTACCAATTATCAACCCTAAGTGGCACCGTTGGATATATTGGGTTGTACAACTTGGCATTGGGTGGGTTTTGTTTTACTTATTTCAGAGCTTTCTCTAAGTTGTATGTAGGGCTCTGTTGTTTATTAGTGGTCGTAATAGTGTTCTGTTACGATGACTCAAGCATTTGCTCATTTTGCCCAAAAAGAGCAAGGTCACACCATCATTACTTGTATTGCTTTAGAACCCTGGTGTTCTGGTCTGTACTTGTTCTTTTTCCCACTAATACTGAGTTTTTATAGCCAAATATTGTAAATTAATCACTTAGATCCATTTTGCTTACGTAATTTCCCACTTGGAAATGAAACTCCCTTCCTTCTGTGACACCATCTTGTCCTTTCCTCCATGCTTGTCTTGCTAAGGACACTGGTAACACTCCTTGCTGCCTAACTGCAGTGTGCCCTCCATGCAGTCATGTATCCCTGGATACATTTTGTACAATAATAGGTGATGAATAAAAGTTTGCAGTGCTCTCGTGACACACTCCTACCTGTCCTAGAATGGCTGTTTGGGGAATACCCAAGTGCTCTGAGCAGCCTGTTCCCAGTCGTGTCTCTGTGAAGCTACTCTCTCTCTCCAGGCTCCTGGTGAGTCCCTCTTTTTCTGTTCGCCCTGCTCTGCTGTCTTTCCTGCTTTTTTGTCTCTGATTCCCTGTTCCTGTTGTCTGCTCCTGTTGTCCTGTCCTATGTACTGTCCTGTGGCTGTAGCCGCCCCTACTTGGCTCCATCAAGCCCTGGTGCAGGAAAGCCCAGGGGCCAGAGGCATTTGGAATGCTGTTCCCACCCAGCTACTGGCACCCACTTTCCCAGCCCGCGGGCAGTCCTGGTGTAGAATCATGCTGGAAGCTTGCCAGGTCCTCTGCTCAGGAATGTGTGTGTGCACATCTTGTTGATGGACAGTTGACTTTATGTGTGGTAAAACAGCAGCCTGACCAAGGGCAGCTGAAGGAGAGGTACTTTTGAAAACAAGAGCATTAGGCAAAATTAATTTACATGGAAATTCAAGGGCTGTACCCAACTACTTTTTAAATGGATAATTTTAAAAATTAGGTCTTTAGTACTGGAAATTTTGTCTCAAGGCTGTTTGCTATAGCTGAACCAAACATGTGCTTGCAGAAGGGCCTTTTTCCTGCTCTGCTTTCCCTTCTCTTACCGACTTAACAGGTGTGCTGATCTGTTCTTTAAAAAAGCTACAGACCCTTCAGCTTTCAGATGTCTTGGTTCTGGAAAGGTGGCTGTCTTATAGAACACGCTGAATGCAGTGTTACTGGAGACGTGCAGAATTGGCACAGAAGTAGACGGTGTGCTGGTGGGGGTTCTGTTCCATCAAGGAGTGTGTGTTCATTGTAGAAAAATGAGACGAGACTTTCTAGCCAGCACAAGTGAAAACAAAGTTCTTTTCAGTGGTGTTTCTGCAGTGTCCATATCTAGCCGTTATTGCTTGTCAGATGTTTTGTTCGCATGTTCATTGTGGTTTTTGGGGGATGGGTATAAGGGATTGAACTCAGGGGCACTTGACCAATGAGCCACATCCCCAGCCCTATTTTGTATTTTATTTAGAGACAGGTTCTCACTGAGTTGCTTAGTACCTTGCTGGTGCTGAGGCTGGCTTTGAACTCGTGATCATCCTGCCTCAGCTTCCCAAGCTTCTGGGATTAAGGCACATGCCCTGCCCCAAATGTTCATTATGGTTGCTTGTTTTTTATGTATAAAATGATAACAGCTAGCATTTATTTGCCAGGAATTGGGCTCTGTCTGAGTTTGTTCAATCTATTCCTTACAACAGTGCTGTGAGGTCAGCAGTTGGCCACTGAGATCCATGGGTTCCATCAGTGGATTCAACCAGCCACACATGAAAAGTAACCAGAAAAAAACAATTATGTCTGTACTGAACACAAGTAGGTGTTTATCTTGTCGTTATTCCCTAAACAGTATAATAGGACTATTCACGTAGCATGTACATTATTTTAGGAAATACAGGTCATTCAGACATGATTTATAGTATAGAGGAGGATGTGTATAGGTTACAGGTAAATGTTATGCCATTTTATTTGAAAGACTTCAGAATCTGTAGGTTTTGGTGTCTGCAGTGGGTTCTGGAACCAGTCCCCCATACATACCAAAATAACCACTGTTTTTCTCCCAATTTAATCTTTATCCTAAACCTATGGGGTGGGTACCAATTTTACTAAAGAATCTGAAGCTTAAAAGAAGCAATATGCTTGCTCAAGGTCATATAGCTAATAAGCAGTGGAGTCAGGGTTTTTACCTCTCTCTGGCCCTGCAGTGGCTGTCCTGGGGATCTTGCCCCTGCTGCTCTGGTGGGCAGGCTAGAGGAGTGGTGAAGAGTGCAGAGTGCCAGGCCGTGGGTTCAGGCCATGGCTCCCTGCCTCCTGCTGTAGTGAACTTGAGCACATTGCTTCACCTTCCTCTGGGCTTTTTTTTTTTCTTCATCTGTAAGATCTGTTTCGTAGGGCTGTGGATTAATACATGGAAGTTCAACTCAGATAGTGCTTGGCACAGTAAGTGCTGGATTAACATGGCTCTTACTATCTTTGTATGTCACTGTCCATGGCATATCTACTTACCTTAGGCTCACAAGACGGCTGCCATAGCTCTAGATGTTAACATTTGTATTCAAGGTTGAAAGAAGGAAAGCTGAAAGGTTTTTTAAAAATTTTAAAAAGGTTTTTAAAAAGGTTTTTTTAAAATTTTTTTAATATTTTTTTAGTTGTTGATGGACCTTTATTTTATGTATTTGTATGTGGTGCTAAGAATCGAACCCAGTGCCTCCCACATGCTAGGCAAGCACTCTACCACTGAGCCACAACCCCAGCTCCAAGGTCATCTGGTTCTTTACCCCCACTTTATCAGGAAAAGCAGAGGCTGTCTGCATACTTGTGTTTCCATCTCATCAATTAGAACTAGGGTGGAAGGCCATCCCTGGCTGTAGTAGAGGCCGGGAAAAGGTACTTTTAGTGATGTGTAGGGGTCACCTCTGTGGGCCAACAGTTACATTACCAGAGATTTGCATCTAATTGATACCACCTTGGGCAATTTGAAATCTTCCCTGGTGGGAATAACTACAGAAACCTGTAAATGCTGCACATCTGATCCCCTTCCCCAAGAGCCAGTTGTTAGAAATTGATCGGTTCACTTTTGGGGGCATTTAGCTCTATATGCCGGCCCAAAAGGCAGCAGGGAGAGAGGTGAGGAGTGGGATTAGGAATGATTGCTGGGTCAGCTAGCCACAGCATCTACCAAGGTCAGTAAACTCTTATGCTCTTTTAATGCCAGTGATTGCTGGAGGTCAGAGTTGAGGCAGACCTCTCAAGGTCATCGAGGACAGCCCCTTCATTTGACTGATGGGAATCTGAGGCTCCAGGACCATGTACTTTGATCCAGACTTCAAAGCCAGGGAGTGAAGCAGCCCTCCTGATACCTAGAAGTCCTTGGCAGTCCAGTGTCCATTCTCTAGAATGGAGGGTTTGAAACCTGCCTTTCTGCCCCTGTGCCTCTCCTCTCTAGCCTGCTCCAGTTGTACCCACTCTAGTACTGCTTTGATCAGCTCTCACGGCACAGGGAATTGGGCTGTCGTTATCCATTGGCTTCCCAGGAAGCCTACTTTAGTTTTGGTTTTTAGAAAACCAAAAGAGCATTAATTATTTTTTTAAATGAGACAAACTTGAATTTGACCTCTGCTGTAGTATACTACAGGCCAATGTATTAGAAATTGAAGAATGTATCTAAATCCATATTTGTTTATAATAAGAAATCAGCTTAGCTAAAGATGAGCTTTAGTCTTTCTTTTTTTTCTTTTTTATTTTTTTGTTGTCATTGGACTTTATTTATATGTGGTGCTGAGAATCGAACCCGTGCCTCACACATGCTAGGCAAGTGCTCTACCACTGAGCTACAACTCCAGCCTGAGCTTTAGTCTTTCTTTAGAAAAGACCAGTAAACTTTTTCCATATATGTATATGTGACTCTCCCATCAGAGGGTAAGCTCTTCAGGGCAGGCCCTGTGGGCTGGCTCCTTTTCTTCTGAGGGTGGATATGCCCAGTGCATTTGGCATTCATGTGTATTTATTGTATGAATGAATGAATGAATGCCCAGCTTGGACTGGCTTCACATCTTCAAATACAGAAAACGAATTGGCAGCCGTTGTCTGAGTGTGGACTTGGGATCAGAAAGTCTGAACCTGGTGTTGGGGCCCTGTTGAGTCTGTTCCTTCAGTTGCTACAGATGAGGCATGGAAATGGGGTGCACTGATAGGAGTGTGACCTCACTGATGGGAAGATGAGGTGGAGAGGGGGCTTGGGGGAACTGAATATCAGAAGATGTACCTTTCCAGAAACAGTCACTCAGACCTCAGTAGGGCTTATTTGACTTTTCTTTACATTTGTATCAACCCAGTCTCTTGCCTGCTCTCTTGCCCTGTGTTCATGGTAAGATATCATGTTCTGTTGAAACCTTAACATCATCATTTTGAGGAAATCTTAAATAGAAAATAGATTCCTCATAGCTTTAAAGACAGAGATCTGTTTACATGACTTTTATTTCTTCACATGACTGAGTACTGTTCTTAACCAGTTCTGGATATGTCTTTATCTACAGCCCAGTTACATCAGTGATGTGGGTCCCCCTGGTCGGAGCTCTCTGGATAGCACTGAGATGGCGTATGCCCGGCAGGTGAGCATGCTCTCAAGGACTTAACCCAGGAAAATGCATGTGAGCCTCTGGGAATCAAAGGGAACGATAATTTCATGTGAAAGTCAAACCCTGAAAGCAAGTTGGGTTTTCATGTAGAGTACTGGTTAATATTTTACCATATAGGCCACTGGAAAATTCTATCAAATAGGGTAATTGAATGACTCAGATTTGATGTGGGGAAATTGAAATCTGCCCTCTACACTGACCAGGCAACCCATATTGCATTCTTGGCAGTGGCTCTGTGTACAGTAAAGCCTTGAGAAACTACCCTGCGTAGCAAATGGAGTTCTGTATTAACTGAGTTACCTGGTGAGCCAATGGTGTGATCAGAAACCCTTCTTTCACCCCTTGCTGAGAGGTATGTCTCTCTGCCTTGGTAAGCATAGTGTTCTGAGCTACTTCATATCATTACCATCTTGAAGAAGCTCCCGATACATGGGGATCTTGCTTACGGTTGCTGATCATGACTGTGCAGGAGTAAGGGTGTAGACTGAGGTGCTTTAGTCTGGTAAGCACAAACTCACCACTGGACTGAAACGGACCTGAGGACAGGCATACCTGGGGTGGACTTTTTGAATAAAGCATTGCCAGCCAACTGCGTTTTATTATAATTTGTCATATTCTTCCATAAAGTATCAGAAAGGGGACACATACCTGTTCCTTGAGTTAAAGGTGATGGGCTTCCACCCCTCTTAAGATCATCCTGCACCAGCAGCAGCCGAAGGACACCTGCTCAGATAGTACCAACTCCCATGCCTTTTGGGAAGCACGTTGGTGCCCCCTCGTAGCCCTCAGCATTACCTCCTTCCTTCCTTCTCTCCAGCCTGGAGTCAGGTGGTTGGAGGAATAAACAGGTAACAGTTATGGAGGGGAGAGAAGGGCCACAAGAAATTCTTACACCTTGTGCTCTTTAGCAGAGGTCTCTGGCTTCAGTTGCCAATTAATTAGTCACTGAAGTTCTGCATTAACCAAATACCTGGTAGGCTTTTGGCATTACCAGAAATCCTTCTTTTTCCCCTTGTGAAAGACATTTCCATGCTTTGTAAAAGTCTCTCTCCTTTAATATGCCATGGTCATTTCCAACTGCAGGCAGCTGAAACCAGTTTATCAGCTTCCCACAAATGGGTTCCCCTTTCTTCCCAATCCATGTTTTACCACTGTCCTCCATTTATTTCTTTCTGCTTCAATCTTTAGATCCATTCATCCTCCCTCCCTCTTCCTCTCTCTCCCCCTCCCTTCCTCCCTCTCCCTGCACATCGACACCCTTTAAATTTCACCTTCATTACAGGGCTGAATCTGTCCATTGCCATGGCCATCACAGGAATTCAGGCCTGATGAAATTATAAGCTTTTGAGGAGAGAAACTATGTGTTTTCTATATCTGCAAAGACAAAAACTTCCTACAGTGTAACATTTCATAGCACTTGGAGCACCCGGATGTTCTGTATCTGTTTACATGGCCATCCCCTCCAATGGACAATGATTCTTTGCACCACATGTTAACATAGTACCTTACAAAGGGAAAACCCCTAATAAGTGATCATTGCGTGAATAAACATACCTTATCGTTTATTTTTTATTTTCATTTTTGGTACTGGGGATTGAACTCAGGGGCACTCAACCACTGAGGCACATCCCCAACCCTTTTTGTATTTTATTTAGAGACAGGGTCTCACTGAGTTGCTTAGGGCCTCGCTAAGTTGGTGAGGCTGGCTTTGAACTCGTGATTCTCCTGCCTCAGCCTTCCAAGCCACTGGGATTATAGGCATGTGCCACTGAGCCTGGCCCATTTTATTTAATCTTTATAACAGACCTGGACGCTAAATGGTATTGTTGTCCTCCATTTAAAATAGAGGAAATTCAGGTTCAGCAGGGTCGTTTTATCTAACATCAGTGTTCTCTTCAGTCGTTAGAATAGCAATGACTTCTAATACAAAGTGAAGTCTTCCACAAGAGTAGAAGTTACTAGTTTTCACTATCGTTATTTTAGTACTAGAAAAATGAAATCCAGCTGGGCACGGTGGTGCATGCCTGTAATCCCAGCAGCTTGGGAGGCTGAGACTGGAGGATTGCAAATTCAAAGCCAGCCTCAGCAACAGGGAGGCACTCAGCATCTCAGAGAGACCCTGTCTCTAAATAAAATACAAACTAGGGCTGGGGATGTGGCTCAGTGCTGAGTACCCCTGAGTTCAATCCCTGGTACCCCCCGACCCCCTACAAAAGCCAAAGTACCAGTGGCTTCCTTATACCTTAAACCTCACATAGTTTTAATTTTTAGTTTGCTAAATTTTTTGGAGAAAATTCTACCTAAAGAGCAGATTCTTTCCAGGAAAAACGTATATTCCAGTTGTGCAGCAACTGCTAATCTAATGTGTGGTGGCTGCAACCTGACATTCCTTATTCAGTCCATGGACCCTGGACGTGGGACCATTCAGGCCTTAGACCAGGATTTAACCGGCCTTTGACTTCTAGGAAGTAGCAGCCGAAACCGTTCCACTGTCCTGTCTTCCTGTCTTCTTCCTTGGTCCTTGCTCCCTGCCTGTGGTGCTCCTTCCCCAGGACCACCTTACTCTCATTCTTCAGGTTTTTGGAAGGCTGGGAAAGCAATTAGTCTTGGTGTGTTGCCCTTAACCCAGGCACAGATCCAGAGAGCTGGCCAGTATGGCTGGCTCAACACTGTGAGGAGGGGAAGGTCTGTGGAAACTTTTCACCATTTGTTGGTTTCGGAGCTGTTTCAGGAAATCTTAAAAAGAAGTGAAAATAGAAACTGTGCCATTTACTTTGCTTTCCATCATTCCAGATTTATATCTATAATGAGAAGATTGTCAGTGGCCATCTGCAGCCTAACCTTGTGGACCTCTGTGCTTCCGTCGCAGAGCTGGATGATAAGGTAGTGACCACAGCTAGCCTGTGTCAAAAGGTGGGGTCCCGTGTTCAAATGGGATTAGCAATTTGCTGACTTGGCTAAAGTGCAATTAAGAAACACTCTGTTCCATGGAGTAAAATTTAATTGTTCTTCAGAGGTTTATTTAAATAATTTTGGAGGTTTTTTTTAAATAATAATATTTTTTAAAATGTATCTTCAGAAAACCCAGCCAATTCAATTAATAGTTGCAAGAGTTCTCCTTAAGCTATCGTTGCTTTAAAGTTCTGACAGTTTGACTCTCCACTCATCAGTTTCCCTCCCCAGACAGACCGTTGAGGCCTCTAAGGAGAGCTGAATTATAAAGGTGACATAGTCTTAACACCTGCCAGCTCTTTGACTCAGGTAGCTGAGCTTTCTTCATACGCCCCTCATCCCATTCCTCTCTGACCTCCTACCCCCAATTTTTATTCCCCCTCTACTCTTATCCCTGGACAACTTTCTCCTCTGAGGAAAAAATTAAAAAGCAAAGAAGTGAAGCCAGGCATGGTGGGTGCACGCCTATAATCTCAGCTACTTTGGGGACTGAGGCAGGAGGATCACAAGTTCAAGAACAGCTTGAGCAACATAGCAAGACCCTGTCTCAGGATAGAAAGTAAAAGGACTGGGAATGTAGTTGAGGGGTAGAGCACTGCAGTCAATCCTATGACCACACAAACACCACCAAAGAAGTCGGTGCTGGGTTCCAGGAGGGAGAGAGATCATGGAAGCAAACACCCGTATACAGGGTTGTTGTAAAATAGCAAAATATAAGGCAACACGCACTTGGCTGGATATTCTGCGGTTTTAATTTTTGATGAAAACAGACTTTTGCCTTTTGCTTTAAAAAGGTGTAAGCCTCTTTCTCCATCCAGTGCCATATTCCTTAGAGTATTACCAGAGGTTAAGAGAAGACATTTTTTAAAGAGAGATTTATAGCCAGGAGGACTCAGGAGAGGGAGGAGGCCCGCTGTGTGATATTAGCACAAAGAATGCCTGCTTCTTCCTGGAGGAGCTCTAGAAGGGAGTGAGGGAGAAGGAGAATGGAGGCTGGGATGCTCACCTAGTGGGTAAGAGCCATGGCCTCTGGAGAGTCCCTGGGAGGACAAAACCTGTATTATTTAGTTTAAACTCTTGTTTTAAGCCTCAAGAAACTCAAATAACCTTGTAAGGACTAAAATGCAGCCTTAGAGTTTAAACTCTTAGAACTCTGGTGATTATAAACGTATTCACTCTCTCTTAAGGGAGAGCCCACTGAGATCCAGTGTTCTTGTTACTTTATGTGGCTGTAATTATGTAGGTGGTTGTGTCAGGCTGGATGGTAATTGATGTGGAAGCCAGAGCGGGGAGGGATGGGGGTGCTCAGAGGTGGATGGAACTTGGGCTGCTGGCAGAGCAGAGGTGCATCTTCTGCCCTTTGCTTGAGCCTGAGGGTCTCAGACAGAAGACATTCACTCCCCCTCAGCCTGCCCGTCGCCCAGGTCAGCGCTGTGAGAGCCGAGTAATTCCTCCAGCCCTGCAGCATTATCACGTGCAGTCTCGTTTACACCCAGAGCATTTCTGACATGTGGACCATGGTAAAACAAATGACAGATGTGTTGTTGGCACCAGCGACTGACGCCCTGAAGAGCCGGAGCAGCGTGGAAGTGCGCATGGAGTTCGTCAGGCAGGCGCTGGGGTACCTCGAGCAGAGGTGAGGCAGCAGGAGCTCGGTGGGCCCGTTCCACTCCCCGACACCGGCTCTCCCTCGGGTCTCATCGTCTTTGGACTCACTGTCCTGTGGCCCCTGTCATTGAGACAATGAGCAGGGCTGAGGGGCACCCTGTTGTCAGAGCCAGGACTGTTCCTGCAGTGGTGACAGAGCACATGTGAAAGTCACGTGAGTGGGAGCGCTGTTAGATTGGTTCCCTTCTGCTCTCAGTCCCTTCACACGGAGTCCTCGTGGTTATCAGGCTGGAACGCGCAGGTCATAATTCTGCTTCCTGACGCGGTTCAGCTATTACAACTTAGGTTCTTTTGTTTCCTCAGCATTCGAGTCTTTATCCAGTAGGTGTCACCATGTGAAGCCTTAACCTTGCTGTCTTTCCAGTTCCACTCTTTTAATCCCTATGAATCCGAGGGTTTCCCAGATGCTAATGCCTGATTGCTTTGCCACTTTCTTACCAATCAGAGGTGGCTGCTGTTACATAAAAAAAATTATGCCTGATACATAAAAAATTATTTGGGACTGTGCCCTTGTGCCCTCAGTATTGTCCCCTTCATTAGTGGGGCCCATGCCATTCATCCCTCCCTGTGGACTCTCTCTCTTTCAGAGACAGAGCCTCTCCCTGTTGGTGCAAGACAGAAAGCCCAGCTGAATGTCTCACTAAACTGCAGCCTTTGCACTGAACCTCTGCACCTGCCCGCAGCCTTGTGTGTTTGCCTTTTGTCAGCAGAATCATGCTTCATTAGGAAGTCATAGATTTCCTGTATGTAACTGAGGTGGTACACACTTGGTGTGCAGAGAACGGGTTTGAATGAACAGCATTAGACGGACACTCACCAGCTTCCGTCCCCTGGTAGAGAGATCTTAAACTCCAAATTCCTCTAGCCTAGGCGTAAAGTTTTATAAAAATAATTCATGGGGCTTTAGCCAAATTTTTGTAATTAAGTTTTGGGTGTATTTGATTTCCCTCCACAAAAACCTGATGCACGGGTACTATTTATTCATTACAAGTCAGCAAAATATGAGCCACAATATTTTTTACACCATGTAAAAGCATACGGAAAATTTTTAAAGGGATGTAAATATATGCTGCTCAGGACCCTTCTATCTTCGTCAACCTCATCCTTAACTTGGCGCTGACTTCAACAAGGGTGCCAGCCTGCCTGCCTTTGTTTTTTCTCTGGCAAGTCATCCCCTTTTATTACTTATTATTTTATTATTCATTTCATTTAGTTTTAAAATATTATCTTGTTCCGTTAATTCCCTCAACAGCACTTCTCAGAGCTATTTTGGAGTATCCTACCCATGACTGTCGTAACTTTATTTTCTTTTTCACTCTAGCGTGGCATTGCTCTCTGATGGCATCCTTTTGAAGGATTCATTATCACCTTTTTATAGACGAGATATTTTAGAATAATTAATCTCAGTTTTAAAGTA